CCCTTCCCACACACACCTACTGCTAGGTACCCTTCCCCACACACACCTACTGCTAGGTACCTTCCCCACAACACCTACTGCTAGGTACCCTTCCCCACACACACACCTACTGCTAGGCACCCTTCCCATACACACCTACTGCTAGGTACCCTTCCCCACACACACCTACTGCTAGGTACCCTTCCCCACACAACCTACTGCTAGGTACCCTTCCCCACACACACCTACTGTAGGTACCCTTCCCCACACACACACTACTGCTAGGTACCCTTCCCCACACACACCTACTGCTAGGTACCCTTCCCCACACACACCTACTGCTAGGTACCCTTCCCCACACACACCTACTGCTAGGTACCCTTCCCCACACACACCTACTGCTAGGTATCCTTCCCACACACACCTACTGCTAGGTAACCTTCCGACACACACCTACTGCTAGGTACCCTTCCCCACACACACTTACTGCTAGGTACCCTTCCCCACACACACCTACTGCTAGGTACCCTTCCCCACACACACCTACTGCTAGGTACCCTTCCCACACACACCTACTGCTAGGTAGCCTTCCCACACACACCTACTGCTAGGTAACCTTCCCACACACACACCTACTGCTAGGTACCCTTCCCACGCACACCCACTGCTAGGTACCCTTCCCACGCACACCCACTGCTAGGTACCCTTCCCATACACACCTACTGCTAGATACCCTTCCCACACACACCTGCTGCTAGGTACCCTTCCCACGCACACCCACTGCTAGGTACCCTTCCCACACACACCTACTGCTAGGTAACCTTCCCACACACACACCTACTGCTAGGTACCCTTCCCACGCACACCCACTGCTAGGTACCCTTCCCACGCACACCCACTGCTAGGTACCCTTCCCATACACACCTACTGCTAGATACCCTTCCCACACACACCTGCTGCTAGGTACCATTCCCACGCACACCCACTGCTAGGTACCCTTCCCACGCACACCCACTGCTAGGTACCCTTCCCATACACACCTACTGCTAGGTACCCTTCCCATACACACCTACTGCTAGGTACCCTTCCCAAACACACCTACTGCTAGGTACCCTTCCCCACACACACCTACTGCTAGGTACCCTTCCCCACACACACCTACTGCTAGGTACCCTTCCCCACACACACCTACTGCTAGGTACCCTTCCCATACACACCTACTGCTAGGTACCCTTCCCCACACACACCTACTGCTAGGTACCCTTCCCCACACACACACCTACTGCTAGGTACCCTTCCCCACACACACCTACTGCTAGGTACCCTTCCCCACACACACCTACTGCTAGGTACCCTTCCCACACACACCTACTGCTAGGTACCCTTCCCCACACACACCTACTGCTAGGTACCCTTCCCCCCACACACACCTACTGCTAGGTACCCTTCCCCACACACACACCTACTGCTAGGTACCCTTCCCATACACACCTACTGCTAGGTACCCTTCCCCACACACACCTACTGCTAGGTACCCTTCCCCACACACACCTACTGCTAGGTACCCTTCCCACACACACCTACTGCTAGGTACCCTTCCCCACACACACCTACTGCTAGGTACCCTTCCCCACACACACCTACTGCTAGGTACCCTTCCCCAAAACCACCTACTGCTAGGTACCCTTCCCCACACACACCTACTGCTAGGTACCCTTCCCCACCACACCCTACTGCTAGGTATCCTTCCCACACACACCTACTGCTAGGTAACCTTCGACACACACCTACTGCTAGGTACCCTTCCCCACACACACCTACTGCTAGGTACCCTTCCCCACACACACCTACTGCTAGGTACCCTTCCCCACACACACCTACTGCTAGGTACCCTTTCCCCCACACACACCTATGCTAGGTACCCTTCCACACACACCTACTGCTAGGTAGCCTTCCCACACACACCTACTGCTAGGTAACCTTCCCACACACACACCTACTGCTAGGTACCCTTCCCACGCACACCCACTGCTAGGTACCCTTCCCACGCACACCCACTGCTAGGTACCCTTCCCATACACACCTACTGCTAGATACCCTTCCCACACACACCTGCTGCTAGGTACCCTTCCCCACACACACCTACTGCTAGGTACCCTTCCCCACACACACCTACTGCTAGGTACCCTTCCCCACACACACACCTACTGCTAGGCACCCTTCCCATACACACCTACTGCTAGGTACCCTTCCCCACACACACCTACTGCTAGGTACCCTTCCCCACACACACCTACTGCTAGGTACCCTTCCCCACACACACCTACTGCTAGGTACCCTTCCCCACACACACTACTGCTAGATACCCTTCCCCACACAACCTACTGCTAGGTTCCCTTCCCCACACACACCTACTGCTAGGTACCCTTCCCGACACACACCTACTGCTAGGTACCCTTCCCCACACACACCTACTGCTAGGTATCCTTCCCACACACACCTACTGCTAGGTAACCTTCCGACACACACCTACTGCTAGGTAACCTTCCCACACACACCTACTGCTAGGTACCCTTCCCACGCACACCCACTGCTAGGTTCCCTTCCCACGCACACCCACTGCTAGGTACCCTTTCATACACACCTACTGCTAGGTACCCTTCCCACACACACCTGCTGCTAGGTACCCTTCACACACACACCTACTGCTAGGTACCCTTCCCTTACAGACCTACTGCTAGGTACCCTTCACACACACTCCTACTGCTAGGTACCCTTCCCACACACGCCTACTGCTAGGTACCCTTCACACACACACCTACTGCTAGGTACCCTTCCCCACACACACCTACTGCTAGGTACCCTTCCCCACACACACCTACTGCTAGGTACCCTTCCCCACACACACCTACTGCTAGGTACCCTTCCCCACACACACCTACTGCTAGGTACCCTTCCCCACACACACCTACTGCTAGGTACCCTTCCCCACACACACCTACTGCTAGGTACCCTTCCCCACACACACCTACTGCTAGGTACCCTTCCCACACACACCTACTGCTAGGTAACCTTCCGACACACACCTACTGCTAGGTAACCTTCCCACACACACCTACTGCTAGGTACCCTTCCCACGCACACCCACTGCTAGGTACCCTTCCCACGCACACCCACTGCTAGGTACCCTTCCCATACACACCTACTGCTAGGTACCCTTCCCACACACACCTGCTGCTAGGTACCCTTCACACACACACCTACTGCTAGGTACCCTTCCCATACAGACCTACTGCTAGGTACCCTTCACACACACTCCTACTGCTAGGTACCCTTCCCACACACGCCTACTGCTAGGTACCCTTCACACACACACACACCTACTGCCATGTACCCTTCCCACACACACCTACTGCTAGGTACCCTACCCTCACACACCTACTGCTAGGTACCCTTCCCACACACACCTACTGCTAGGTACCCTTCCCACACACTACTAGGTACCCTTCCCACACACTGCTAGGTACCCTTCCCACACACTGCTAGGTACCCTTCCCACACACTGCTAGGTACTCTTCCCACACACACTGGTAGGTACCCGTCCCACACACTGCTAGGTACCATTCCCGCACACTGCTAGGTACCCTTCCCACACACATCTACTGCTAGGTACCTTTCCCTAACACTGCTAAGTACCCTTCCCCACACACTGCTAGGTAACCTTCCCACACACCTGCTGCTAGGTACCCTTCCAACACACACACACTACTGTGTAACCTTCCCACACACCTGCTGCTAGGTACCCTTCCAACACACACACTGCTGTGTAACCTTCCCACACACCTGCTGGTAGGTACCCTTCCAACACACACTGCTGTGTAACCTTCCCACACACCTGCTGCTAGGTACCCTTCCAACACACACACTGCTGTGTAACCTTCCCACATACCTGCTGCTAGGTACCCTTCCAACACACACACTACTGTGTAACCTTCCCACACTCTGCTGCTAGGTCCCCTTCCAACACACACACTGCTGTGTAACCTTCCCACATACCTGCTGCTAGGTACCCTTCCAACACACACACACTACTGTGTAACCTTCCCACATACCTGCTGCTAGGTACCCTTCCAACACACACACTGCTGTGTAACCTTCCCACACACCTGCTGCTAGGTACCCTTCCAACACACACACTGCTGTGTAACCTTCCCACACACCTGCTGCTAGGTACCCTTCCAACACACACACTGCTGTGTAACCTTCCCATATACCTGCTGCTAGGTACCCTTCCAACACACTCACTACTGTGTAACCTTCCCACACACCTGCTGCTAGGTACCCTTCCAATACACACACTGCTGTGTAACCTTCCCACATACCTGCTGCTAGGTACCCTTCCAACACACACACTACTGTGTAACCTTCCCACACACCTGCTGCTAGGTACCCTTCCAACACACACACTGCTGTGTAACCTTCCCACATACCTGCTGCTAGGTACCCTTCCAACACACACACACTACTGTGTAACCTTCCCACACACCTGCTGCTAGGTACCCTTCCAACACACACACTGCTGTGTAACCTTCCCACACACCTGCTGCTAGGTACGCTTCCAACACACACACTGCTGTGTAACCTTCCCACACACCTGCTGCTAGGTACCCTTCCAACACACACACTGCTGTGTAACCTTCCCACACACCTGCTGCCAGGAACCTTCCCAGGCTTGGCCTCGCTCAGCTGTGACAACAGCCGCACCTCCCTATACCATAATCTGTTTATTATGAAGTTTTGTAATTCCACGAAGTCATTTCTAAACGAAACAGCTTAAATTCCTTATTTGACCTAATACCCGCTCGTCCATTTGTTGTGTCTGTCTCCCGAAAGGGAGCCATTATCTGCACTGATGTTTGTATACAAAATAGGTAAATACAAGAGAGAGATTTTCGCTAAACTGCTGGAAAGTGCAGCTTAGGGCCCATGAAGGCAATGTTAGAAGCCTTGGGCAGACTTACCTCATGACAGTCCACGTTCTGGTGGCAGCTGCTGTCGTCCTGCTTCAATATCACGTTTTCGTACTGCAATAAAAACGAGTAAAATTAACAGAATTCTACTACTACTGCCACAGCTATTACTACTACTACTACAACTAGTACTGTTACTACTACTACTATTACAACTAGTACTACCACTACTACTACTACTACAACTAGTACTACTGCTTTATCTACAAATACTACCAGTACTACTGCTTCTGCTACTGTTATTACTACTGCTACTATTCAGTCAGCTATCAGCAACGAAGGAGCAATTCTTCGTTACTTTTTGGCTGAGTGACGCATGCGATTTAACCCTTAATTTGCATACAATAATAATAATAATAATAATAATAATAATAATAATAATTAATAATAATAATAATAATAATAATATAGGTAGCAGGTTGGTAGACAGCAACCACCCAGGGAAGTAATACAGTCCTGCCAGATGACTGTGAAACAGAAACCTGTAAATGTTTTGCATGATGGTAGGATTGCTGGTTTTCTTTTTCTGTCTCATAAACACCCTAGGTAACAGGGATATCTTGCTACTCCTACTTACACTTTGGTCACACTTCACAGACACGCACATGCATATATATATATACATACATCTAGGTTTTTCTCCTTTTTCTAAATAGCTCTTGTTCTTCTTTATTTCTTCTATTGTCCATGGGGAAGTGGAAAAGAATCTTTCCTCCGTAACCCATGCGTGTCGTATGAGGCGACTAAAATGCCGGGAGCAATGGGCTAGTAACCCCTTCTACTGTAGACATTTACTAAAAAAGAAGAAGAAAAACTTTATAAAACTGGAATGCTTGAATGTGCGTGGATGTAGTGCGGATGACAAGAAACAGATGACTGCTGATGTTATGAATGAAAAGAAGTTGGATGTCCTGGCCCTAAGCGAAACAAAGCTGAAGGGGGTAGGGGAGTTTCGGTGGGGAGAAATAAATGGGATTAAATCTGGAGTATCTGAGAGAGTTAGAGCAAAGGAAGGGGTAGCAGTACTGTTGAAGGATCAGTTATGGAAGGAGAAAAGAGAATATAAATGTGTAAATTCAAGAATTATGTGGATTAAAGTAAAGGTTGGATGCTAAAAGTGGGTCATAATAAGCGTGTATACACCTGGAGAAGAGAGGAATGTAGAGGAGAGAGAAAGAGATTTTGGGAGATGTTAAGTGAATGAATAAGAGGCTTTGAACCAAGTGAGAGAGTAATTGTGGTAGGGGACCTGAATGCTAAAGTAAGAGAAACTTTTAGAGAGGGTGTGGTAGGTAAGTTTGGGGTGCCAGGTGTAAATGATAATGGGAGCCCTTTGATTGAACTTTGTATAGAAAGGGGTTTAGCTATAGGTAATACATATTTTAAGAAAAAGAGGATAAATAAGTATACAAGATATGATGTAGGGCGAAATGACAGTAGTTTGTTGGATTATGTATTGGTAGATAAAAGAATGTTGAGTAGACTTCAGGATGTACATGTTTATAGAGGGGCCACATATATATCAGATCACTTTCTAGTTGTAGCTACACTGAGAGTAAAAGGTAGATGGGATACAAGGAGAATAGAAGCATCAGGGAAGAGAGAGATGAAGGTTTGTAAACTAAAAGAGGAGGCAGTTAGGGCAAGTTATAAACAGCTATTGGAGGATAGATGGGCTAATGAGAGCATAGGCAATGGGGTCGAAGAGGTATGGGGTAGGTTTAAAAATGTAGTGTTAGAGTGTTCAGCAGAAGTTTGTGGTTACAGGAAAGTGGGAGAGGGAGGGAAGAGGAGCGATTGGTGGAATGAGGATGTAAAGAGAGTAGTAAGGGAGAAAAAGCTAGCATATGAGAAGTTTTTACAAAGTAGAAGTGATGCAAGGAGGGAAGAGTATTTGGAGAAAAAGAGAGAGGTTAAGAGAGTGGTGAAGCAATGTAAAAAGAGAGCAAATGAGAGAGTGGGTGAGATGTTATCAACAAATTTTGTTGAAAATAAGAAAAAGTTTTGGAGTGAGATTAACAAGTTAAGGAAGCCTAGAGAACAAATGGATTTTTCAGTTAAAAATAGGAGAGGAGAGTTATTAAATGGAGAGTTAGAGGTATTGGGAAGATGGAGGGAATATTTTGAGGAATTATTAAATGTTGATGAATATAGAGAAGCTGTGATTTCGTGTATAGGGGAAGGAGGAATAACATCTTGTAGGAGTGACGAAGAGCCAGTTGTGAGTGTGGGGGAAGTTCGTGAGGCAGTAGGTAAAATGAAAGGGGGTAAGGCAGCCGGGATTGATGGGATAAAGATAGAAATGTTAAAAGCAGGTGGAGATATAGTTTTGGAATGGTTGGTGCAATTATTTAATAAATGAATGGATGAGGGTAAGGTACCTAGGGATTGTCAGAGAGCATGCATAGTTCCTTTGTATAAAGGCAAAGGGGACAAGAGAGTGCAAAAATTATAGGGGGATAAGTCTGTTGAGTATACCTGGTAAAGTGTATGGTAGAGTTATTATTGAAAGAATTAAGAGTAAGACAGAGAATAGGATAGCAGATGAACAAGGAGGCTTTAGGAAAGGTAGGGGGTGTGTGGACCAGGTGTTTACAGTGAAACATATAAGTGAACAGTATTTAGATACGGCTAAAGAGGTCTTTGTGGCATTTATGGATTTGGAAAAAGGCGTATGACAGGGTGGATAGGGGGGCAATGTGGCAGATGTTGCAGGTGTATGGTGTAGGAGGTAGGTTACTGAAAGCAGTGAAGAGTTTTTACGAGGATAGTGAGGCTCAAGTTAGAGTATGTAGGAAAGAGGGAAATTATTTCCCAGTAAAAGTATGCCTTAGACAAGGATGTGTGATGTCACCGTGGTTGTTTAATATATTTATAGATGGGGTTGTAAGAGAAGTAAATGCGAGGGTCTTGGCAAGAGGCGTGGAGTTAAAAGATAAAGAATCGCACATAAAGTGGGAGTTGTCACAGTTGCTCTTTGCTGATGACACTGTGCTCTTGGGAGATTCTCAAGAGAAGTTGCAGAGATTGGTGAATGAATTTGGTAGGGTATGCAAAAGAAGAAAATTAAAAGTGAATACAGGAAAGAGTAAGGTTATGAGGATAACAAAAAGATTAGGTGATGAAAGATTGGATATCAGATTGGAGGGAGAGAGTACGGAGGAGGTGAATGTATTCAGATATTTGGGAGTGGACGTGTCAGCAGATGGGTCTATGAAAGATGAGGTGAATCATAGAATTGATGAGGGGAAAAAGGTAAGTGGTGCACTTAGGAGTCTGTGTAGACAAAGAACTTTGTCCTTGGAGGCAAAGAGGGGAATCTATGAGAGTATAGTTTTACCAACGCTCTTATATGGGTGTGAAGCATGGGTGATGAATGTTGCAGCGAGGAGAAGGCTGGAGGCAGTGGAGATGTCATGTCTGAGGGCAATGTGTGGTGTGAATATAATGCAGAGAATTCGTAGTTTGGAAGTTAGGAGGAGGTGCGGGATTACCAAAACTGTTGTCCAGAGGGCTGAGGAAGGGTTGTTGAGGTGGTTCGGACATGTAGAGAGAATGGAGCGAAACAGAATGACTTCAAGAGTGTATCAGTCTGTAGCGGAAGGAAGGCGGGGTAGGGGTCGGCCTAGGAAAGGTTAGAGGGAGGGGGTAAAGGAGGTTTTGTGTGCGAGGGGCTTGGACTTCCAGCAGGCATGCGTGAGCGTGTTTGACAGGAGTGAATGGAGACAAATGGTTTTTAATACTTGACGTGCTGTTGGAGTGTGAGCAAAGTAACATTTATGAAGGGGTTCAGGGAAACCGGCAGGCCAGACTTGAGTCCTGGAGATGGGAAGTACAGTGCCTGCACTCTGAAGGAGGGATGTTAATGTTGTAGTTTAAAAACTGTAGTGTAAAGCACCCTTCTGGCAAGACAGTGATGGAGTGAATGATGGTGAAAGTTTTTCTTTTTCGGGCCACCCTGCCTTGGTGGGAATCGGCCAGTGTGATAATAAAATAAAATAATAATAATAATAATAATAAAGATTAAAATAAATAAAAATGAATAGCGTTTGTAGACCGCCTGTACTGTCTGCACAGACAGCCTATGCTGTCTGCCAGCTTAGTTCATATTTCGCGGCACTCAAGTGCTGCCTTCTGGGCCAGCCCAAAGTCAGTGGGACGCTGGTCCCACACGCCCTCACTCTCACAGCGGCCTAGCAGCAAGTCAACAAGGCCTACTAGCTCTCTCCCTCGTGGGCATGGCCCTACCGGGCCATGGGCACAACACACAAGCCTGTGTACCCACCACGACTTTGCAAATAAAGTAAGAAGCCTCCGAAGACGTCTATCATTGAACCCTGCTCACCAGCATCACCAATAAATCTTGTTTCACACGTTTAACAATAGTAACGACAATAATATTTCAAACAATATTTTGGAAAAACAGTAATATGAACAGGAAGAAGATAAAAATATGAAAATATGCCGCTATGTTCTCGAATTTAATGTAATTTTGATGAGTTAAAAACATAAGAAAGAAGGAACACTGCAACATGCCTACTGGCCTATGTGAGGCAGCTTCAGTTCTCCCATCAGCTTAAGCCAATGCCTTGACCTAGTGAGGTGAGACACGTCACTTAAGGGAGGAGCAGTGCATCCGACCTAGTAGCACAAGCTAGTCAGGCCCAACTCACATCCACCCACACCCACTCATGTATTTATCCAACCTATTTTTAAAACTACTCAACGTCTTAGCGTCCATGACGGTACTCGGGAGTTTGTTCCACTCATCAACAACTCTATTACCAAACCAGGTAAGATATATTGACCGTGCTTTTTGTAATAGGAATAAGAAGAAGAGAGATAGAGTGTGCTTCCCTAGAGCTGGTGTTGGGGACATAGTTAACAGGCTGGATAATATCATGTCAGGTAATGGGAACAAGCCCATCATCTGTCTCAGTGCTGGTGGAAATGATATTGGGAAAGGTAGGAGAGAAGAGCTGCTAGATAAGTACAGGTCAGCTATAGATTTCATTAAGTCTAAGGGAGGGGTCCCAATCATATGTAGCATCTTG